ACCCTTCTAGCAAACGTGTGTTCCCTCTTTCCCCTTTCATCTATGCAACACCAGCCTCGGTCTGCTGCCCAATTGCTTGGCTTTATTGCTGGGAAAGTTGGAGACTGGTTGTCAGCATGGTCACAAAGCAGAGCATTCCTTTTGGACATATACCACAAAGTCAAGTGTTAAGTGGGTGCTAGCGCTGTGCCTCCAACTTACAGCCTGTTATAGCCAACTCCAGGTGGGTGATCCTTTGCAAGGATCGTAACCTGCCCCCCATCAGTTTATTCTAGCTAAGGACACTGAGGGTATCCAAATTTGCCCCTGCAATTTGCTGCTCAGTCACTAATAACACAGTTCAGCTGGGCAAATATCTAAGCTGTTTTTTTCTAGGCAAGACCGAAGGCCTCATGCAAGCCTCTCAGTTGGTTCTTGAAGATGAAAATGCTACACGATGCCTAGGGAGGAGAAAGGATGCAGCAGGCATAGAGGGTTCACCCCGAGTTAAGAACACCAGGCGTAAGTGTGGTGAGTCACGTTCTGACGCTCTGCAGGATTCAGCGGGTGCCCCACGTTCCCTGCTAATCCGGGGTGTGGTCCACATCCTCTTCCATCACTTCTTTCCAAGCCTTCTATTCCTTTTTGCCCTCCTCCCTCATGTCACTAGAGCCTAAAGATCTTCCGGTCTAGGTCCACAGCCCTTCTGCGATCCACTCCTAGCTCACATCTTTTTGGAGAACTTTTCTTCCACTCAGTCTTTTTTTAAGTGAAGAACTGCTAACAAGATTGGCTTGAGACACTGCCTGACTTAACCACCATCCCACTCCCCAATCATCATCCCCAGTTTTTTGAAAGTAAAAGGCAGATCTGTATTTCAGTGAAATGTAACCTCCTTGGGAACCTGTCTGCTTTCCTTAGAAGCAGAGCAGAAAGCAGGCGGGGCCGAGGGAAGGAATGCCTCCGCATATCCACACCCAGTTGGCTGTGTAGTTTTCTTTCTTTACTTTGTTAGAGGTGTCCTGAACTCAAATCAGGAAATTCTCCAAGGAAAACAGACGTGAAGTTTGCTACTGTCAGATGAGATTTGCCTAAGTTTTCTGTGTCCATGGAGTACCCATGTGTTGGTTCAATGCTAAGCTTCACTGTGAAAAAAGCTCTGGGGTTTCTATTTCATTTAACAAATTGTACTCCCCACGGCGTCTTAGCTCAGCACTTCTGAGAACAGATAGTGCCCGGATGTTCTCGTAGAGAAAGTGAGTGGTACAAACTGAATGACCTTTTCATAGCTTGGAGTTGATTTCTGAAAACTTACTTGATACTTTCTGAAGCTAATTCATCTTAGTAGAGATGATTCCTTATGGAAGCTAGAAAATTGAATTAGATAGCCAAGTAACCTTTTGCTTTCTTTGTGTAACTTTCATCCCTGTCCCTCCAAGATCCTCACATCTGTGCTCTTATTTTCAAGAAGCCTCCGAACAAAAGATTGCTTGTAGGGCCCTTTCTCTGACATTCTGGGGCATGCTCTCTCTCCTGGTGGATGCCTGTAAGGCCTGAGGACACAAAGGGAGATGCAGTTGCCAGAATTCTTTGTTAAAGTGCCTTCCTGATAGGGTGCTAGCGCTCAAACAGAAGGCCAACACAAGACAGGACTTGCTAGATTGAGCTAGCTTCCCTACTACAGTTCTGCTACATAACTGATTTGAGGGCAACAGGCACTAAAATGAAGTTACTTGCTTCAGAATACCCACACCCACAAGTCAAAGGTTACCTCTCAAAGACTGGACATTGAACATTTTTTTTGTTGGGAGGGTTTGCTTGGCAAATCCTCTTTCCCAGCATCTGAGGAACTCGGGAGACTTGACAAGACTGTTGCTAGCTTTCATGGGAAGAACGTGCACTTGGCTGCTTGGGCTCCACTGTGTGTGGTGAGGTTTATCTTGGCCCAGACTCTTCAGGCCTCGTCTATAGCCCTGGCTAGACATGCCTTTGGGGAGAGGAGAGCTCAAAGGGAGAGCAAACATTTGCGGACATACTTGAACCTAATTTGGTTCATGAAGTAATCTAATTCACCTTTTTTTCTAGTAATAAAATGGAGCAAAGCTATCTTATTTTGTGGTAAGAAGCATAAACAGACCAGGTCAAAAACTAGTCATTTTGTTTTAAATAGGAAAATACAGATTAGACTTTCAGTACCAGAATCCGCAAGCTTGAAATGAAATGTGTGTTTAATTGGGAGTACTTTTTGTGTTAAAGTTCTTTAGAGGGGCTTAAACTACTGGGTATATTTTATTCTTGAAATGACATACCTCTGTTGACACAAGTCAGATGGTCATGGCCTTGGAACGAAGATTCCGTATCTGAGGACAGGGGAAAATGGCTGAGATTGCCAGGTGAGGTAGAAAGGTTGCCTTGTTTGTTCTGTAAACAAGTGCCTTTTTCTGACTTGCTTTCTGCTCTTTCTGCACAGTCAGCAGTGAGGACAGCGTGACATGCCGCTCCCGTCAGTGGCAGGGCGGGAGGCGGTGGGACCTGTGAGCCACCTGGCTCTGCTTCCTGGTTGCTGTGCATGTGTGTGCGTGGTCTGCTTGTTGCGGTTAGTGCACTATATTTTTTTCTATTTTCAAGACTGCTCAGGTAGCTCCATAGTACAGATTTCATTCTCAGAGTCTCCTAAAGTTGCATATAATAGGAAACTGTTCCATTTGAGGAAAAACTTTAAGAGCTCTGTGCTCTAGTCACCAAAAAAGAATGTCATGAGAAACCTAAGTATTGAGACATAAACTACTCAACCAAGTGAGGAATTGGGCCCTTAACTATATGGCAATAGTTAGGTCATAGTTACCATTTTTCCCACCATCAAAGAAAGATTAAATAGTTTCCATAACATGGAATGTGGGCAAGGCTCCTACCCTTAATGCAGACTTAGATATGCAGTTGTTTGTCTCAGGCTATTTGTGGTGAATAAGCAGAGTATTTTTAAATGCTCTTAGCAGCCTTGGAAAAAAAAAGCAAGGCTTTAAACTTGTTGACAAAGTATTTCTTAAGTAAATAAATCTGATTTAGAAATATCTAAACATGGACAAAGTACTTTTAAATCTGACATGTCACCACAAGCGGCTTTAAAGTGGTTGCTTAAAAACAATACCAGCATGACTAAAGGATTTGTAGCTCTGAGTTATTCTAGCTTTAAAACCACTTCTCCTAAAAGCATCTTAGAAAAGGGTAGCTTGAAGGACTTGCTTTCTTTCTTTAGGTCTCAGCAGAGCAAAGCACATGGTAGGAGGCAATCTAAGGTCAAAGGTGACTTTTCTGAAATACACCATCTGAGCTGTAAATGGCCGTCTCTGGAGAAGAATGTATGAGGCGAGTCTTGCATAGGGAACCCAGGGGGCTGGGCTCTGCGGCGCCTCCGACCAGCTGCGGGGGATGCCAGGGTCCCTGCTCACCTGTGCACACCCTAAGATGGGAGCTCAGTCTAGTACCCCAAAAGAGGCACCTGGTACTTTTACAAAGCCTGAACACCAAGTGTTTTCCAAATACCCAGGAAAGAATTTCTGAAAAGAGGTGGGAGACCTGTTTTCTTGCAGTCTAAATAAAATGCCTCAAGTTTTTGTTGTTTTTTTTTTAAGGTAGGGGGAATTACACGTTTTAAGTTCTGCTTCCTTTTAACTACTGGCAACAGAGACGCGCACACTCCTGTTTTAACCCACCCAACGGCAGCTGCCCTGGATGCTTGCCCGTGGACCACCCACTCCCCAGCACCCTCTCCCAACAGCACTGACAGAGAAGCAACACTCTGCTTGGGGTCTCAGACTCTTATGGAATCTGAGCTCTCTGAAATGTATTTCGGTGACCCCGGAGAAGGCTGTAACGAGCAGAGGAAGTTGTCTTATTCCAGGCGTGCTTTTCACTCCTCAGTCTTTGCACCCACTGCCAGAGAGACACCCAAATAAAAAGAGACTACTACATAGCTCTTACGTGGACAATACAAAAAGTGTGGTAAATTACTTGCTGAAAAAGGGGAGGTATGTAAATTTACTATTGTAAGTTAGCTCTGTAGTTCTAATTCATTTAGAAATTTTTTGGCTTTGAGAAAATTTAAGACCATGTCAACCTGGGCAACATCTCTACCTTGAGAATAATTAATAACTGGGGTAACCATAAACGCATTTTCTAAAATTTAAAGCAAGGCAGTATCTGACTGTTGACGTGACTCAGTGTAAAGCCATAGATGCCAAAAGTGGTGAGGTCATATGGCCTTGGCTAAATTAGTTTCCTACCTATAAAGTGAATTTTTAAAAAGGAAAAAAAAAAGTCTTACAGTCCTGTACCAAAAAACTTTCTATAAAAAAAAAATCAAGGCCTATTTAAGTGCTATAATTTAACCATTAGTCATGCCAGACTGTATTTCTTTTGAGACGAGAATGTCAGATTGATGTCACTAAGCTAAACCTAAATCCAACAGTTATTACAGCTGTGCTACAGAAGGGATCAAAGTCAGTATTAGAAATATTATACTTTATTGAATGCTACAGCAGCTAATCTACCCTCCCATGTTGACCAGTAACAAGAATAAAAGAAATAGATGAAGATTAAAGGGTCTACACCACAGTTAAAAATGTAACAACACTCACTGTACTGGGAGGCAGGTATGCCCCCTAAAGTATACATTAATGATCCATTCTTGTTCAAAACAACAAGAAGTGATTTCACGTGGGATTCTGAAGTGAATTTAGTCACACTGATTGTGCCCTCTGCTTTAGTACGGTTAGGGCTTACAGAGCCCGCTTCCCATCTCCCCTGCTTGACAATGAACTGCAGCGTTTGGCTCCAGAGGACAGCGAGGGCCGGAATGGGGCGGCACGGGCCGCACGAGACAGCCCCCACTAATGAACTTTACTCCGTTACGCTGTAATATAAGACGTTTCCTTCTTTGTGGCTTGCTCCTTTGTCCTCTTTCGGCTAAATTCTCTCTCTAGATTTATCCCAGATGAGAAAAAGACTGTTTTGGGGGCGGGTGGGTGGGGCAGGGGGAGGAAGCATTTTTGGTTATCACAGGAGTGTAGAAACAGATGAAGACTTTTGCCCCAAAATGGAATCTCTGCAGTCCATTCCAGCTCAGCCATACAGCAAGTAGAGAACACTTTTGCAAAGCCACTGATGGACAACAGCCTCACCAGAGTCACTGAGAACACTCAAAAGCTTGTAAAAGGAACCTTTACAGAAGACTACATCTGATAATGGAAACAATATATTTCTCCAGTGATATACAATACTATGTAATGCACTGAAAAGATGGATTTTGTAGTAAGAGCACAATTTGTAACATAACAGCATTTTTGGATCACCTCTCCATCCTCGTTCCACTCTGAGACCCTTCACCATACTGGTGATGAAACAGGGTCACAAGCCACAGCTGAACCACCTGCAGGCAGTTCAGCCCAGCTTCACTGTTACTTTTTTCCAATACAGATTCCAATTTTCAACCATCTGTAAAGAGTGCAGACACACAAAACTAAACCAAGTATCTCCCTATGATTAGAATATCTTAAGGTCTTCAGAAACTTTTCAGATATAACGTTGATGGAGTGCCCCCCTCCCACTAGAACCCAAACAGGGACATGGTCTGCTCCTGCGAGTCCTGCCAGAACTTGTTTAATGGGTGCTCAGAGTTTCGGTTTTCTTCCTTATTCTTCCTCCTCCTCCTCCTCCTCTTCATCATCATCTTCATCATGGCAGTGTGTGATTTCCTGGGGAGCCAGTGGAAAGAGGTTGGGGGGTTTAATCTCACTAATCGACCGTGTCAACTGGTGCCGCTTGTAGTCAGTATCTTTAAAATCTACTGAAGTGCGGTTCCGGGTGGCAAGCGGGGATTCCACCTCATTGATATCTACGTGTGTGTGTTCCACCGTTGATTCATGAGGCATCTAGAACAAAGAGGTTCAGAAAGCAGGTGGAGCAAAATGGTTATTTCCCAAATCCTAACTTCTCTCCCTCATTTTTTAAATAGTTCAAAATGCTTTGATTCTATCACAGAATTGCAGTAAATCCACTGCATCATTAAGAACATTACAAACCTGCACCGTCTTTCTTTTGATTAGTGATACTTAAAAAATTTTCCACTCCCAAGGTGGTTCCAGCTTGTGTGCAAAAGAAGCATGTCCATTTCCGCAGGCTCCAGCAATCTGAGTGCAGCCAACTGACCAGGCAGTGTTAAATATGCTGCCAGTGTTGGGCTTTTCTAAAACATATGACCACCCAGTTTTATCACACAAGCATAAAGTATGAAACGACCCAACAGCAGATACTTCCCCACCTGGAGCCCGTAGGTAACAGGATGCTCATGAGGTTGTGAATTATATAGAGGGCAGCCGTAACTATCCCATACCTTTTAGTCTTCACCAGCAGATAAAATTAAATCGTTGACTGAGTTCCAATCTACTTTTAAAGTAATACCATCATGAGCTTTCCGCTGTAAAACTAGCATTTGGTTGGAGAGGTCTAATGATCAGCTGCCTCCCTCCTGTGTAAGGAACCTTTTCTGAATTAGCCCCACAACTAGTGAATACATGGGAATGTATTCCTCAATGAGCTAAAGTTGATCTTAGTATTCCAGTCTTGACAATTTTTTACTTGTCCATCCTCTCCAACTGTAACACTGTTGCTTCATAATCCATCTTTCTGAAAGTACTCCACAGGGAGCTGCTACACTTTTTCCCACTCTTTGGTAGAAATCAGATGAAATTCACCGTCAGAACTTGTAGGACAAAGCTTTCCGCTTCAGTTTGTTTCTCTGTGCCTAGGCTTTTTGGAAACCAGTGAATATCTATTGGGCAAATATCAACAGGAAGTTTTACTATGACTTGTTTCACTGGTTAAAAACAAGTTCCACTTCACTGTCTGGTGATCATCATTACATGAATATAATTCTCAGCAGCAGTCCAGCCCACACAGCTTACTAATTCTTGAGGCTTTGGTTCTTTTAAAAGATCTTTAGTCTCATGTTTCTACTTTCCAGCAAAACTTTAAAATGCTCCTTGACTCTGGTCACTCAAGTTCCAAGAAAGCGGTGGCGACTACACTCACAGAGCTGGGACGCCTCCGACTCCCCTGTCACCATAGCTACCATCCTCTCCCTCTTTAGGTGGCCACGCACAGAGGTCTATCATAGACCTGAGGCCTAACCAGTATGGATACTGCAGTGTCTTCCTGGAACTCCCTAAAGCTCCCTCTCCTTAGCCCTCAAAACTGTGCCCAGATCATTTACTATAGCCTGAAACTGGGTTAGATAGGAAAGAAGAGATCCTTGTTTCCTGTCACAGCAAAAACAGTCCTAAATCATAGGAATATGAAACACCATATTTCTCTCATTTAGTGCTAACAAAAGAGGAAAGTCTACCATTCAAACAGCCTGTGTTGGTAGATTTCAAAGGAAAGTTATACCCTGTAACATTCTGTCTTGATCATACTTTTTCAAAGACTCCTTTTGCAATCTACCCTTGGGCTTTGCCCATCATTTAAGGATAAATCCAAATCCTCTTGTGCCACCCCACAAATCTGGTTGCAGATCTCAGACTTAAGAGTATCTTAACTACAAAGAGTAGCTTAAAGGTGTATGAACTCACCAAGACATGGGCAGCTCTGAAGAGGTAGCTGAATGGGTAATACAGCAGATTGATGAAAGACGCTGCATAGAGATCAGCATAACGCATCACCTGACTGGCAAAGAGGGTTTGCCGGGAGCCACTGCGAAACAGGCTTCCCATCATCCCATAGCACATGTCCATGTCATGAGTTACTTTCTAAAAGAAAGAACAAGAGTGAATGTCAGCTCATTAAAAAACAAAAATTATTGAGCACTGGCTATGTGCCAGTCCCAATACAAAATCAGAAATATGAAAATCACTTCAATTTTATTTTGCAAGTTTTCTCCCAAATCCCATTTGGATACCTTAATACGTCTCTGGATGGAGCTAATGTCTGGGCGCTCATTGCTACTGCTGTCAAGGTGCCTGGAGAAAAACAATCCAGTGAAAATCTCTAGAAATGACCTCTCTCATACCGAGGTAACTCTGAAAAAGGCAGATGAGTTTTAGGGAGTAAAACTTTAGAATAAAGAAAAAAACTTACTTGTAGAGTTCAGCCAAGAAAATATCCAAGCTCTGAAGTTCTTCAAAAAGTGCTAGTTAAGGTTTGGAAGAAGAAGAAAATATTTTAAATCAAAAAGCACCCAGTTTTAAACTACTGCTAAAACTATATTAAAAGGTTGCAGATATGACTGAAAAAGCCATAGGTGAATGCAGAAAATAACTTCCTTGACCCCTTCGGGAAAACCCACGGATGCCCTGCCTGCAACCTGGTGGCAACCGAACACCATAATTTCCTTTTTAACTGCCTTCTTCCCATTGAAACATCACTGACTACAACTCTGCTTCCAACCAGATGCTTCCTTCTATGCTTAGAAAGTGCCAATTCACATTGCATCTTAGGTGTGAGCAAAGCAAATAACACAAAATGAGGTGACTTGTCCAGAGTTACAAGTCTAGGAAACAGAGCCAAATCAACTAGATTCCTAAAACTTCATAGGTGGAAAGTTGAAAATGTGGGTGAAAGGCTAGAAAGAAAACTCCACTGATAAGCACAAACAGTACCAACAGCCAGCATCAGTTGTGTGCTTTCCTCCACTTGGGTTTCCCAAAGAGAATTAAGCCTTAATGTAATCATTATGTTTAACAAATTTTCTTTATCTGCCATCTTTGGGAGAACAGAGAGTCATTTAATCATTTTCTCTGTTCTGTGGGTTAGAGGAGCCATGGTTGAGAGGGGTTGTTACTTCTATCTTCTTTATACACACATGACCTCAGTTAAGTCTCATCAGCTTTATGAGGTAGGTACTGTTATCCTCATTTTCACATTTGAGGAAACTGAGGCAAAGGGTGACTTGGTAACTTGCCTGAAGACAGGCAGGCATTACCTTTCACCACACTGAGTGAGGCCTAGCTAGGGCTGGTCAAAGAACATCTGTGTCAAACATCTTTACATAACTAAATCCACAGCTCATGTTTTGGTATCCACAGAGTAATTCAGTTTGGAGAATGGAATTTGGCCCCATTCTCTCCTGGAAAAAAGCAGGAGGTGATCAACACTGAGAGCCATCAATGCCCCAGAAGCACAGATACGAGCTGGTAGCAGAGAGGCTGGAATTAGCATGGCAGAGAAACGGGACTATAGAGGAGAATGGCGTTCACAGGTTAGCTGCTACAGTAATAGAACTCAGGGAGTAACGTTTTGTACTTAGAGACTCGAGAAAAAAGCTGCACAAGGTAACCCCTCATATTTCCTCAAATTCTGGACTTTTGTGAATTATCTGGTTATCTGGGAAAGAGGTATGGAAATATTTGGGACCATCTTTTGACCACCTCTGACCCCTACATACAAAGTAATGGTTCATCAAAGAAGACTGATTCACAGCTGGTCATTTATAGAAACTAGCTACGTCAAAGATTTATAAAGTAAGTAATGCCTCCTTACAACTCTTATCAGTCCAGACATGAAGCTCCTGTGCAAGTTCAGGAATCACCAAGAAAGTTCGCCACCCTTGACGTTTCTTTGATTTTAGAATGTCCCCAAAAATGTGATCTCCAATATACAAAATGTCCTTGCCCTTGGCTCCCAACAGATCACATATTGTATCAGATGACCCTGAAACAACAGAATAAACAATGAGAAAATGAAAATGTCCCCATATTACAAAAATCAGCATTCCCAACACCATAGCCAGTAAATACTGTGCTGATTAATTTTATTCTTACACTTATATGAGAAACACACTAGAAAAGGGCTCACTTTTCTTAAATACAAAGACCCTCAACTGTCTTTTTATCATCATTCTTTTTACTGCCTTTAAGACAAAACCTTCTGCTCCAATGTGATGACCAGAGCTCTTGGTCACGAAATCCAAGAGCAACCAAATTGCATGTCTCAGCTTCAGTGACAATTATAGCCCACAGAAGTACTGCCACTGTTTCTCATCACAAATGTGCCATTAAGTTGGCTTTGTTCAATGGTTTCTCATGCCAACAAAAAATCTGTACCCATAGGGGCTCCTTGAGAACCACCCCAAATGATTCCAGGACATTGAGAAAAAGCCTCAAATAGGTCCAAGAAAGGTAGCGGGGGGGGGGGGGGCCCCGGGGGGGCAGGGCAGCGGGCAACAGATCCTTTTAGTCAAAATCAGATTCACTAAGCCATACTATCAACTTCTCAAGCCCATTCTCCCTGCTCCTGTGGCACTGGTAGACAACTGAAGTATTTGCATTCAGTAGGTGATATCTTTAGAACACTAAGTGGTAGATGTGCCCCTACGCTAGAAGGACACCCATGCTTTCATGGTGAGGTCTGAGCAAAGACACTGACGGCAAACCTGCAACTCACCTCCTGAGTAGACAATACCATGCTGTAAGGGGCCTGTGTAGGTGCCAATTTTCAGCTTGCCGGTTTTCTGTGAGAAGAGAATGTGGACTTTGTAACACTTTATCATTCTATCACAATCTCTACCCAAAATTCTACTTGGCTAGGACACCAAACGAAAGGCACTCCTGAATTATATTTTTGAATTATTTGGCTATTTCAATTAAGACCAAAAGTCTTAGAACAATTTCAAAAGAGAGAGATACAGCTAAGTAGTTAAAAATACATGTTTTCTTAGGGAGAGTATGAGTGGCGGAAGGGCAAACATGAAGGACAATGTGCTAGCAGACAGGTCATCCTCTCAACTTACAGTATCCACCTGACGTAGTACTGTGCCTTCTCCAAAGAAGAGTGGTTTGCGTGCATCCACCAAGATCAGGTCAAAGTACGACTGCCACGGTCGGTGGGAGCTCCCAGGCTGATGAAGGAGAAAAGCAAAAGCTGAAAAATCACTCCTAACCTTAAGGCACTAATATTTAATCTCACTCAAATGCAAGAAATGTAGAAATACTAAGTAAAATCAGAAGAGCCCACTATTTTATTAAAAACATAACTATCTAATCTCTAGTACATTTTAAATCATTTCATCTACTACTCATTTCACAGAAATTTAATATATGAAAGAAAGTGTGCTCGCACTGAAATGGGCTGCAAGAGCTCAGGGCTAACGAGAGATCCAGATCAACATCCGAGAGACAAATTAAGAGAGACCTAACCATCAGAACTGAGGCATACAAACTGACACAGAACTATCAGGGAATTTTACTGGTTATGACCTCAGACTATGGCTCTAGGCACACCTGGCCTTTGGCTCTTACTGCAGGCTAACCACAGCACTGATGTAAAAGTTTTACCCATTAATGTTACTATCATCCTGAAAGTGAACCACGACATTAACCTTTTAAGGTCAAGTTGAAGAGCAATGCATGCTGTGCTTTTGGATGATCTCAAAATAGGAATTTTACTCATTCAAAAAAGCCTAGCATTAAAATCCCACAAGTATGTGATTAAACTGCAGTGAATATTCCTTAAATCTAAGTGCTGCCAGACTGCAAGAATAAAGACGTCTCTGCTAAATATCAAGGTTAACTGTTCCCTTAGTACAAAACTCATCAATAACTATAGCAGAATCTGGAAGTGGTCAAGAATATACACATTTTCTCTGTTTCTTTTAATTAGTTATCTTCCTCAACCTGAAAACTGCAAACTTAGTGACTCTGCATAGAAATTCTTGGGCATAAAATTATTCTGATCTCATCCTACTAAATGCCACATGAACATCTCTTTTATTTCTGTCTACTAAGTTTTCAGGTTGCTTACGACTTTAAATTATAACAGCACTGACATTTATTTCTCATGTTTATCAAGATTCCTGAATGTGTCCTGACCAATTCCTTAACATCACTATTCCAGGCTGATTAAATGCATTCATTATCACTAAAGCAATGGTCTAGTAATTTACATAGAGTACCTTGGGGCCATGTGGGAAATCAAACAGGTAAGTCATAATTTTCTGGGGGGGGAAAAAAAATCCAACATTAAGGTTCATATACTACTTCTACACAAGATATAAAACACTACTAAAGAAAAAATCACACACATGCTTTTCATAAGACACATCCTTTTTAATATAGGATTCATCACATTCTCATTTTCTCTAAAGTTTATGAAATCATTGCCGTGAAAGCCAGAAATTATGCTTCACCATAACAAACATACAAAAGCTTCTGACGTTCTCAGTAGGACATGGATTTTTTCTAGGAGATATTTTTGTACAGATTCATCCATATATCCCTACCTAATGCTCCTAGTGCACCTGAACACATTTTTGGAGGCAAGGGTCTTTCGAGATAAGAGCATAGAGAAAACAAATGACTCACGTGGAAATAACATACCTTGGTCTTCTTACTACCATTAGTAGACTAACCAAGCCAATGAACCATTGGCTTTGTAAAACTGCTTATTCCAAATCCCCAGATTTAAAAGACTTTACATAAAGAGGACTGGGAAGTACTGAGTTTCTTACTAGTGCTATGAATTTGTTACTGTCTTAGCAAGTAAGATGAGGTTAAGGAGTTAAATCAGCTTTTCTACATGCTTTGATCATGGCAAAAAAAATTTGCATTAAGCGATAGTAAATTTTGAGGGCTAAGAATCAGAACATCTTTGCACCATCTATTGATGTCTGGCTCCCAACAGCAGGGAGGGAAAGCATGTGCAATGAAAGGAGTGACTCAAGTTTTATAAATGATGTGCCAGAGAGACACAGAAGCCATTTTAATCAGCACAAATGTTTTAAATAACCCCCAAATTAAAATGTTCAAGTAGTTATTTGCAATCAGTGAATACAGTCAAATATTTAGAAAAATTTGACAATCACTCTGATCTAGCCCTTATGCTATATATTTTTGCTCTTTTCACTGCTTTCAATATGAAATGGTAAAAACTATCCTTAACATACTATTATCTTCCTTGTTATCCTCACAGTTCTTTAGTCCAAAATAATTCCTCTGTATAAAGAAATGTGAATATTCAGCACTTACATCTGTATATTTATAGTCACTGTTGGTGGCAAGAAATACTTTCCCTACTTCCTTCATCCGGCTCAGAAGCAAAGGCAGTTTTCCCTGAAATGTAATATAATGATGAGTGAAACACCAAAACACAAATACATATTCATTTACTGTGGAATAATCATATACTGGACTTTTATCCACTGAAATAAGAACAGGGAATGTCCTTTAAGGGTTGGTTGGATCGTTATAGATTTTTGCATTTAGAAGATCACATTATCACTATGCATAAATTAAGTATTAACATATGTAATATACATGGTATATATAATATATAAACTTTATACATAAAATAATACATATGTATAAATGATACATATAAATGAGTATATGCTTATAAAAGCATATCTCTACCCTCCTCACATCTGCCTCAGGAAAGAGTCTAATTTACCTTGTAAATCTTATTATGTGAATTATATGCGTTAGAGATCAGAAGGAGCTGATTTTAAACATCACCGGCAAAATCCTCTCCATGGAGAGTATCAGATACAGCTTCACTGTATAGACTTTCATTTTTAAAAAACACCTTGCAGAATTGAAATGACATATGCAGGATACAGTCTAGAAATGCCCAGATCCAGCTGCAGATACATAATGAAATTCTAACTCTCATATAACCAGGGAGAAAAACAGATTTTTCCTTCTCTCACAGTAAATAGGTTCCTTTACTTAAATTCCCCTGGAACTCTCCTAAACCCCTCAGTGTTCTTTTTGAAACAACAAGGACTGGGGTGAGAGTGGAGGAGAAACAGGATGTACAAAGACTGAAAACAGTAAGTAATCTTTACCAATATACTTTGAGAAAATACTGCATTATGTTATTTTTCTTCTATAAGAAAAGGAAGAAGTGTGTGTATGTTTACTTTTTACTTTGAAATAATTTCAGTCTTAAAAGTTGTGAAAATAGTAAGGAGGGTTCCCATATATTCTTCATCCAGCATCCCTTAACATTAATGTCTTACATAACCATAGCACAGTTGCCAAAACTAAGAAATTAATATTGACACAATACTATTAACTAAACTACAGATTTTTCTGAATTTTATTAGGTTTTCCACTAATGTCTTTTAATGATATTTTAAAACTTTCCTTATTATTTCCTGTAAATAGGTTAAGAACAATTTAAGTAAGTTACATATAAGTATATATTTTTTAGAAAATCTAACATGGTTATGATTTGGGTTACTACCTACTAAATGTATGAATTTGGTCAAGTTATTTACTCCCTTTATTCCTCCGTTCATTCATCTATAAAGCAGAGGTAACAAAACCTAATCCAGGGTGATGCAACAGGTTAAGTGGGACAGTGCACGTGCACACTGTGCACTCAGCACGTTGATGTGCACACAGTGACCACTCTCGCTGCTGTTATAATTAGAGCTGTGAGGACAAGTGGAATATTAGGTCTTCTTGACTATTAACAAACAGGAAAAACTGCTAAGACCTGGCTGAAAACTCTTGGTAGTTATACTTGGCATACATTATGCCAAGACAAAGAAATACCTTCCCTTGTGCATTTTGTTATAAATAGGCTTGTTACTGTATTAATTTTCCAACCAGGTAAAATAAGCTATCATGTAGATTTCCCCTTATAACTTACATCTTTGACAACATACTTCTCAAGATTTTCAACTGTCTTTTCCTTAAGGGAGCCCTAGGGGAAGAAAAAAAGGAAATAAGAACAAAACCAGTTTTTAACAATTTATAAGACAAACTGTGTCTACTAACAACCCAGGTACATTTAAGTATTTACCAAAATGAAAAAATAGATACACTGGAGAAAACCAGAATAAAGTGGCATATGTGATTTGCTGTAACTCTGCCTCCAAAATATATTTAAAATATAAAACTATTCTTATTTTAAACTAGAAATCAAAAGGCATCTCATATTTTACTTAGTACAATTTATAGTAAATGTAAATATAATATTTGATAATGATATCAGCCAAGTGGGAGGTATTTGAAAAAAAATGGACCATAATTACCTCCATAGGATACAGCAACTATAATATTAACACTAAAATCTCTTCTAAGTATGTTTGGAAAATACAAACTGAAATACAATCTAGAAAGCAAGCACCATCATTGAGGAAAGATAATCATTACCTCTGAAAGGAGGACAAAGAACAAAAATATTATACAGAGCTGTCATTAGGGAGCAAATCCATGTTTTTTGTTTGTTTTTTAAGAAGAAAAACTGCTCTATTTGCACTTGGGAAGTTAGTGTAAGACCATATAAAACATATGCCAATGAGTGAACAGGTAAAGAAGCAGCTCTTACGTACCTTGTAATGAACCCAGTCAACAGCATCCCTTACATCCTGGAACATACTCCGGTAAGACATGAAGAGGTCCCCATCTTTAAATCCTGTTTCACAACTACAGAAAGTGGAAAAGAACATGACAGGGAATCCAGAGAAGGGTAAATAAAATATCATACTTTGCCCAGGGACCCAAAGTTTCCATTATCACATAGATAAAGGTGCTGGCTAATTAGGAAAATAATTACTCTCTAATGAAAATTCATTTTGACCACCAGAGATGACTATAGTGTTCAAAGGAATACAGTAACTATGAACAAATGCAAAGTGACAGAATATACTGAATGGAAGCTAAAAGGCCAGTTCCAAAAATATCACGTTCCTTTATTCATCACTTTTAAGAAACAGGTTCCCATCAAAGAAACATTTAAAGTTAAAATTGGTAACTTAAGTTCTCTTCATGACTTTTCTGATGTCTCTGAATACAAAGGTATTGCCTATTTTCTATTTAGCTCAGTGACTTAGTGCTCTACCAAATTCAGTGCCTTGAAGTGGGTAAGACCTAAACAGGATAGAAAATTAGCAAATTCTGGCACATACGGCTGAACTTTCAGTAGTGGTTATGTAATTCCCTAAACAGGAGAGGATAACTTGTTCGAGAAGCAAAATTTTACTTCAGGGAAGACAAATGGCATTTACCCTTCCATCAAATCTTGCTGGGTGGGCCTGGGAATGAAACTAAATTACTGTCCTCGAATGGCTCCTGGGTAGCTGCTGTGAAATGAGTAGGGGGGTTTTAGTGTAATTCTGTCTGGACAGAAAATCATCACACAAACCTCCCACTCAGTTGTCACAATTAGCACCTCTGCTGGCCGTCTTCATTCCCACGAGAAGCCAATCAGAAGTGGTCCCTTCCAAACATGGCTGCAGCACACTGGCAAGGAGAGGGGCCGAGTGGGAGCTGAGAGCCTGCATGGAGCTGCTGGTGCTGTCCCATCTCTCTCAGGCTGGCAATGAGGCATCTCTCACTAGCACTAAATTCACTTCAGAAAAGCAGAAAAGACCTACAATGGCCAGTTCTCTAAAACCCTGTACATTAATTTTAAAAAAATCTATTGAAAAAAAATTCTAGTATACATACCTGGTATATCTGGGACAATTAGTAAAAAAATCTACTAGGCAGGCCAACAGGTAGGTCTCTGAAAAATGAAGAATAGATATTCATAAGCTCTAAGTGAAATAATTCAAATTTATCTCCCTTGAGCAAAGGCAAATAATCTTAGGAAGAGGAGAAAGCATCAGCATATAGAAGCATAGAATGAGTCTACCTGGTAGGTTGAATAGTGTATTCAGAATGTAAAATCTTTCAGTGTCATCTCGTTGGATAAATTTATTTGGATACTGCTCTCTAGTTTCTGGTCTGAAAGAAAAAAATTAACTGATACTCAGAAAACTATAATAACTGTGATAAATAGTCATCACTCAAAAATTCATTCAAATATTCTGATAGCTAAATGCAAAGCACATTTCCAAATATTACACATGAAGATAAGCAAGCTCCAGTTCCAGCCCTTAAAAAGTTTTCAGTCTGGTAAGGGACAATTGTAACAAGGTTAAAAAAACCGTAACTACAAAAGAAAGGTGCAAAGAGCTACAACAAAACCGAAGAAGGGGAGACCATTTCAACAGGGTTAAGAAAAGTAAATGTGTGAGTGAGGACAGAAAAATCCAGGGAGGATTCATGAAAGTGGTGGTGTGTAAGTTGATCCTTAAAGGCAGGGCAGACCAGTTCTGACACTAGTCCAACATGAGTAGAGAAAGGGGAACAGAGAAAAATGAAACTGAAGATAAACTGAGGCAGATCATGCCATCGTTCTCATACTTTGCCCAAGAGCAAGAGAGTGTCACTGACAATGTTTAAGCAGAGGGATAAAACCAGCAGAGTTGAATTGTAAAAACATTAAATCAGTTGAAGTTTTAGGGTAAAATGGAAAAAACAGATGTGATATATTGCAAAAATAGCTGTAAATTCTTCCTATCTCTTTGTAATAGGACTTTGGTTCCTCTGATTATGAAACTGCATCGTTGAATACAGGCTTGAACAGCAATAAATAGGATCTAAAAAGAGACTCCAAAAACTTGTACGTTTGGGTTGTCTGCTCTTGCTGTGCTTGGAACTCTGAGATTACTGTGTGAATGAGAGTGTGCTAACCTGCTGGAAGGAAAAGGCTACATGCAGAAATGAGGCACCCTAGCTGAAAGGCTGCCAACTGCCAGATATAAGGCCATTCCAGATCAACTGAGGAACCCTGGAATTGTCTGGCTGACTCTCAAAATTTTAAGCTAAATAAAATGATCATTGTTTAAGCTACTAAGTTCTGAAGTAATTTATTATGCAGCAAAAGCTAAGTGACACAGAGACAAAAGACTACAAAATCAGTTACGTGGTTATCACAGCAGTCTAGATTGAGAGCAGCAGGGGCCTACTCTAGCATGGTGGCAAAGGAAATTAACGGGAAGAATGTATTCAGGGGAGATCATCGAAGTAAAATGGACAAGATCAGGCATCTGATTGAATTTAGCAGATGAGGGATATAAAAATCAAAGATAGTGATGTTCAGTAAAAAAGTAAAAGAAAGAGAGAGAAAGAATGATAATGATGTTTATATTAAGGTGTCTCTCAGAGGGTGGTTGTTCCATTAACAGAAATATAAAACTGGGTAAGAACTTTCATAAGTAAAAGGAGTGTTATTTTAGATACATTAAGCTCAAAGTAAACAGATTTTTACAGGCATTTAGAAACATAGGTCAAGAATTTAAAACAGCGATTCAGACTTAAGAGAGAACATCTATGCACAGGTAGTATGTGAAGTCATCAAGACTGTTAGAATAGAGGAGACCACTTAAGTGTACAAAGAAAGAGAAGACTGAGGACATATCCATGGAGAACATTTAGGGTCTGAAAAAAAAGCCAGTGAAACAGAAGTTGTTAGAGATGCATGAGAATCATGGAGAGTGAAATGAGACACTGCAAGAAGGGGAAAGGGACAGTATTAATAAAAATATTACAGAGAAACTGAAAGGGAGAAAAACTAAAATATAAAAATGCACAATTCTCATGGTGAATGTATGGAAATAATCTAAATAAAGAACAGCAAATTTAAAGAGTAACCTAGGTCAATTCCTGGTTGAGTTTGTTAACTATAAATGGCATAAATTCTAGTTAGGAATATAAAAATCACATTGTTTCCTATCCTCGTAACCCTTCTGAAATAATGTTCCAATAAAGAATAACTTTGTAGAATATCTCATCTTCTAGCCTTTCAAGATTTTCTATAATGAAAATTAGGTGAAAAGGAATAGTAATGACATGCTTTCTTCAGTCAGGCTTAGTAAGATGACATTGTCTCTTTCGATATACTTTCCTAGTCCCACCATCATTAAAGAGTAATTCCTTTATAGAGGGATAGTTAACAGTTATTAGGCAATTAGAAACCAAGCTGACTTATAAATATAGTTAACAATTACATTTTGTTTAAATTAAGTGTCAAATCATGCTTTGGGAGAGGTAATGTTATCATAAAAGAAGGAATGCTAGACTTCTGCTAACTTTCTGCAACCCAAGAATAAAGATTTGATCTCAATATTATCCAATTCTAAAACTTTAAAAGCTTTACAATTGTCCAAAAAAGAGCCCTCAACTCATTGGGAAGGTATGTAAGGCGCTACCTGCTGGAGCCCTACCTTCCCTTCAGTCTTGTCTACCATATATTTCAGTAACTATCTCCCCTTCATCTTCCATCCTCAGTCTCTTCTTCTCCATGGACTTTTCCTTTTGACTCTAAAGACTGTACAGTGCTAAGTGCTGGTAGAATGTTTTGAATGATTCTGCATTTACTCATAAATGACTTATTTTTGAAACACTACTAAATGTATTTCCAAAGGAACTATTTGGAAACATTACTGGCTTTAGCTGGGGAAGGAAAGGTCTGTGGATCTGAGTGAGTAAATCTAACAGTAGTACTAATTTATAGAACTGCTTCTGTTCCTTTTCTTCTTTGACTACCCCTCCTTCCATAACATATTAATAAATAGAATGTTCAGACATTAATAAATAGAGTGTTGGTTCATCTTCATTGAGACTCTGAATTACAGTGACAATATCCTTATGTAAAATAGCTTAGGTTGCCAGTACTATTTGTAATCACTTTACATTCTAAGTCCTGCAACTGATAATTTATGGATTTTGAACAAACCCCTCATGAGAGGTACAGTGAAAGAAAAACAAATATAACAGCGAAAGAAAGGCCTGTCCAGATGTGTCACGATGGGGTATTTACTTCACACTTTTCTCACTACATACACTTGGAAATCTTTGAGCCTATGTTATACCAGCTAAAGAGTCTTGCATAAGATATTTCAATTCTAAGTAGGGCTTTAATGTGATCTCAGTTTTAAAGAAAACTCTAGGACAGTTTCAATTAATTTGTGCCTCTTATCACAAATGAATTTAGCAAAAAGGCATTGTCTCTTTAACAATTTTGACGTAGACTGTGCAGTTTTTACTACTTTGCCATTGAGAATAATACACAGCAAAGTTACATGAGAGACTGACACATAACCTATTTTGGTTTTAAGAGCTCTGACCCTAATACAGTGCCAGTGGTAAATTAGGTAGTATGACAGTGGAGAAGTTGCATAACTCTAAAGCCACAATTATAAAAGTTGTCAAATTGCAAAATTGTGATTTTTAAAGAGAAAATTGGGATGTTTCACCAAAAAACAGTAGACACTAAATTTTATCTGCTGTTACTAGGGTGGAAAGCCCAAATGAGTAAAAATAGTGGAAATATTCCAATTATGAAAATAAAGCTTACCCTTATTGCTTTAAATATGATCGCCCTGTGTTCATTTTTAATCCTATGTTTTAAAAAAATTTAACAACATAATCAAAAATCTGAAGCTATTCATTAGATTGTTTAAAAAATATTATTAACTGTTAAAAATCTTAGTAATTTACACTGTTGTAGTTTTAAATTTTTCAAAGCACTTTTATGTACATACCTCTTCTAAGCAGCTACCTGAGAAGTGCATTAAGAAGGAGAATATGAAATCTTAGAATTTCAAATAAGGCAAAGCACCTACAGTTTCAAGATTAGTTTTGTTGGATGCTGTATCATTAGAAAACACCCATTTTTTTTAAAAGATTTTATTTATTTATTTTTAGAGACGAAGGGAGTGAGAAAGAGAGGGGGAGAAACACTGATCAGTTGCCTCTCACACCCCAACCAGGGACAGAGCCACAACCCAGGCATGTGCCCTGACCGGGAATCGAACTTGTGAACTTTCACTCTCCACGACAACACCCAACCAACTGCAACACAGATCTAGGCAGAAACCACGTATTTTAAACAAAATGTAACTGCTAACTATATTTAATGAGTCAGTTTGGGTCTTAACTGCGTAATACATAATTAAGTGTCCTTACGTTAAAGAACTCTTTAATAATTAAAAATATAGGACAGTATATTAAATCCAGGGAAACATTGTCATCTTCATATTGTCTGGCTAAAAAAAAAACACTAGAAAGAGGCTAAAAGCTTTCTTTGTACTCACCCCCTTATGAAGTTAAATCCATGTGCACAGACCAAGAGGTTTCCATAGGCATCAACTTTCAAAAGATTTCCATATAATGTGTCAAAGACAAGTCCCCTATGTGAAAATGAAAACATTATGAATAATGCAAAGTAATACAGGCAATAATCTTATATTACTCAATCACCGTGAACCAAACTCATCTTCAAGCTTTCTGGCAACTCAAGTATGTTCCAAATCATAACCTGAGGTTAAAGTGAGTGAATGAAATCTTAAAGACGAATCCCAGAGCAACTAAAAGATATTTACTCTAGACAAATAATGACAACTGTTTTCTGTAAGGAATAAGAGCTTAATGAAACAAAATGCAATCTATAATTCCTCTTAATACAGCTGGTTCCATTCTAAAACACTCTTAATTTCTTTGGACAACTGAGCTGACTTTTATTTTCCTCTATTAGATGTTATATATGGGACATACATGATGGTGACATCTCAAATAAACACCATCTTTCTGAACCTTAAATCTTTCCTATCAAATCCATTAATGCACACTGTCAAGAGGCTCCTGATTATCAACTTAAGTGTATTAGCTAAACATGTAACTGCTCTCCAACAACCAAAGGCAGGAGCATCTGTGATTAATTACTGCCCATCAATTTAATCCCTTTTCTTTTCCATAAATGGATCTTGATCTTCAATAACAATAAACTAAACTTAATTCAAGAACACAAAAGATATGGTATACATAAAAAGTCCTTGGCAATTTTAGAATCAACACCAACCAGAGAGAGAGAGAGAGAGAGAGAGAGAGACACACACACACACACACACACACACACACACCCGCCCCCTTTGCGGGGTGGGGGGTGGTCAAGGATGCATTTGGAATTATTACTTTGCAGACAGAGGGTCCTTAATCTAAAAAAGAAAAAAAATTCTTGAAAAATTACCTGGTAGGGAATGTAGAATCATAATCAAAGCTGAGCAGCTCCTGAGGATAGCCAATAGAAACTAATCTCTCCACAGTAAGCTCAAAACCAAGGGACTCATACTCCGGGGACTTGTACACTGCACAAAGAAGAGGTTCTTATTAAAACAATAGCCAATTCAAATAGAAGGCAAATCAGTGAATTTCTATTCTTTCCTAGTTCCCCCTCTTCCTAAATCTGCCATTTTTCTTCTTTTTGCCCCAAGTCCATGTTTTGTACTGCCCCAAATAATCACAGAACTCAACTGTTAGTCTTTAAGAACCGGTCATATTATAGTAGGAGCAGCATATATTTCAGATATATGCTTCACTCTTAAGGAACCTAATCCAAACACTTTTTCCTTCTTTTTATTCTTTCATGCCCACAGTCTAAAGGGAAGGAAGAAAACTAATATGCACAGCTATGATATTAACCATGGGAATGTAAGTAAAATACAAAACTAGATACAGAGGTTTACATATGTTGAAAGTGTCACAAGTGTGTATAACTGGTGTACAAATCCTTCAGGATGAGCTTTTTAAAAACCCAGTCTATTTTTGGAATTCCTATTTGGCTTGGTAGTGGCTTTATATTCCTTCTTCAATAAGCATAATTCTGTTTGTCAGGATTAACTTGTTTTCTTATCAGCCCTACCAATATTATAGTTATCAAAATTACATTTTACAAGTTATTACTGCAAAATCAACCATAAAAAGAAATGTCTGAGATAATTAGGGAAACTGGAATGTGAACTGGAAGTGAGACGTTAAAGAATTATGATTCATTTTATTAGACATAATTACAGAAGGATTAGGATGTGCAAGTGTATGCATAAAATATAATCTCCTTATCTGCCAAAGAAGCATACTATTTTTCACACGTGAAATAAAATGGATTTTGGAATATGAGGGTTTCTCTATACAGTACATGTCTGAAATTTTCTATAATGAAAAAAATTTTAGAATCATCATTGCAGTTCAGCATGAAGAAAATGTTGCCCCTTTAATTAGATTTCTTCCAAAAGAGATATTTAGCTAAGCATCCTTCCATCAGTCTCTAGAAGTGGGTAAGGCATATGGGGGGGGGGGGGGAGCGGCTGAGGGTGGTGGGGCAGACCTGCTATTTTGCTAAAGGCCAAATGAGGCCAAAAACAAATCCATTCTATTCTTCTAGTCTCATAATAATGCAACTATTACCACTACTTTAGTTTAGTTCTATCTATGATTAACATATAGCCTATGGCTCAAGCTAATTGTTTTTTTCACTGCAATTAGTCTGCCTATCCAAGTTAATGCTAATGTTTTAATGAGTACAATTCAACATTCCCTTTCCAAAAGCAATCCTGTACAATTTTTCTGACAATACATAAAAGAAACCATAAAAACAGCTGCCTCTACCAAAGGCAGATAAATGGCCAAGAGACAAGGCGGAAGGAAGACCTGTGTACCTTCTTTTGTACTTGTAACACATTAATGTATTTATCTAATTTTTTAAATTAAATTGAAATTTTAAAAAAACAAGGGGGACGTTCAAAGTCCTTTAATAAACACTTCGTCATATTTAAAAAACCTAGAATTTTTAGGGTCCTTCAGGAGATGCTGAGTCTCACCAGAACAATGCCCCCAAAAGCTGTCATTTCTTTTGTTGTCTCGTGGATATTAATAACTTAATGCCAATGCTAACCCCAGATAACATTTTCGAAACTGGCTATATTTTTTTCCTCCCCTCAGTTCCAGCCCCATCCTCCCCCCCACCCCCGCCAAAACAATTTTTTTGAAGCTTCAAGTATGGAGTTCTTAAATCCAGATGTTATACACTGTGGCAAAGGAAGTGTTAAATATTCATACACAGTAACAGGGTAAGAGCGGGTATATTATCATAAAAGCAGGAAAGCATGGTATCCACTGATGTCAATTTGAATTAGTTTGAGAATATAAAATAGTATTTCTCACACCCTACCCAGTGCTTCCACCCCAACTGAAAGTAAATAACATTTCAACAAAATTTCCATAAAACAAAAATTACTTCTCAATCTACAAAGCCCCACTTATTTCAAATAATAGTTAATGAAACAAAATTACAGTATAGCTAACCAATTTGGATAGTCCACTGATTTTTATATGATTTGGCCCATATGAAGTGTTTTCAATTATTAATTTTTCTGAAGGATGATTTGCTGGATATGCCTTAAGAATGGGAGACAAAAAAATAAACCTTAATCACCCCTATGTAGGCTCACCCCTAAAGGAGCCACTTTTCCTAGTTAGGGAATTACAGAGCATCTGATGGAGTAATAGAGATTAAAACCTGTATCTATGAGACAGTTTGGATTGAAACCCAAATTAATTTATTCAGGATTTTTAGTGAAAAAAAGTACAGGTGGAGGTGTTAATAAAATCTCAAATCCCCATTTTGCCAGAACAAACCCTAAAATGGCAGAAAAAACCCTATATACTTGCCACATTGTGTTTATTCCAGGGCAGAATTGAGGTGACTTTCTAAAAATTCCACCTAAATAAATAAATATTTTAAATTTCCTTTCTCTCAATGAGTTTAGGGTGCTTCCCAAAAAATACGATGTATTTTCCTATTTGCTGACCTGAAGTTATATAGCAAGTGAAAGCATCAGCTGAAGCCAAAATTAGGTCCCCCTAAATCTCATCCAAAGCTCTCTGCAGTGGGGTACACTACACTACTGCTGTTAAAAATGAATTTCTAGATGACACAGCCCATCAAACTTAAGCTTGGGTGTTGAAATGCACTAGTAGCCCTCCAATTTTTTACTAGTCCAAGTAAATTGCTCTAGTCACAGATGGTAATGGACTTAGCAAAGAGAGTCCAAGTTCCACTTTGAAAACACTATCTATTTCACTAAGCTCTATATTAATCAGTAAGAACTACAAGCTATTGACATTTTCTCATAAGCTTCCCAGATAATCATTTCAGTAACATGAACTCCCAAGTCATTAAACATTCTGCCAGGGAACTTATACAACCAGGGCTGGAGAAGCAGAATTGCAGCTGCACAGAGCATGAGTTTAAGAGGTTTTGTTCTAAATGTCTCCTGGGGAATAATCACAATTTGTTCTGACCTGGTGGCAAAAATAACTATTTCTTGAAGCCTACAAAGTACCACCATTCCTTGAACAATAAGTAAATAAATAGAAAAAAATAAAGTTCCTTTTATAAACAAGTAGGCCAGCCTTGACATATCTGGGGAACCATACATATTACCTCTGACTATAGAGTACTATGACTCCCCACAGCTGTGAAGGCTCTAATTTCAATTTCTCTCACATAACTGGCCAGCAAATGATGCATAGTCTCAAGCTCAACTTTTACAACTGTCTCCCCAAAATAGAGCCAGTAGCTTCAGAGTATGCATAGACTCACACATGTACTGCTTATTTCTTCCTCGACAAAGTCCTCAGGCCTATCCTAACTTACCCAATATCCAAAGACAAAGGAAAAATTTATTTCAAGGGCCAGAGTCCAAAAAAGAGGACTGCTTCAGCCACTAGGGCAGCACATGGTGTTCTCAAGTTACGTAACTAGCCTATAAAGAGAACAACCAAAGCTTTGAAAGCTAAAGCTACTTGAGAGCATTTTAAGGTATTCTTTACTCCATCATCATTTGCAAGGAAAAAAAAAACAGTTCTTCAAAAGACAGCCACTGCATGGTGTGGGGATGAAAGTTGCAAGCTCTGTTTGAGTAGGTGCTGTCCATACAAGATAAAATTTAGGTTAGAGGAGACAGTGCCTTTGAAATGAGCCAAAAACTTTCTGCGGGGAAATCTGGAATTCTCATGCACTTTTTGCCACCAAGACACACTGTGGTAGTAGTTTACAGATTTTAGGGGGGGAAAAAAGGGGCAAACCTCTACAGAGGTTCCAGCCTAGCAGAGTGCTGCTGCCAAAATGAGAACTCACATGCGGCAGACGCAGATGCAGAGTGTGTCACTCCAGTCTTGAAGGAGTTACACTGGCTCTCCTGTTAAAAAAACAAAATAAAGCAACAAAACAAAACAAAACAAAAACAAAAACAGGTTTTAAAACTGTTGTGATGGGCTGGAACGGAGAGATACCATTTGGAAACTGGTATTTATAGGAGTTACTACTGCTCCCTCCTATTTTAGAAGCCTGAGACCATCGCTAAAATTCATCTAATTGGCCATAACAAAACAAAGGTATTGAAAATAAGCCTAAGTATTGTGCATTATTTACTTTTCTGGTACCCTACGTCTGGAATACAAGCCAAACCTAATCCTGAAATGTTAAGTCAAAAGGAAAAACAGAAAAATTAATTTATTTTGTCTTAGTTTATTTTCTATAGCATATTTCAGGTTAACATGGTAGAAACTTAATGCAGCTGGTAAAGTGTTTAAAACTGAAACAGACTAAATAAAGATTACAAGAATAAATCAGAGCAGTCTCATCTCGCTTTTAAGTACCAATTTAAACTAAGTCTACTTATACCTACCTACCTCTTTTTCTACCCTTCCAACACCTAAATTTGTCGTCATGGTACAGACAAGAACCAACTTCATGATGCTAAAAATCTACCTAGATGTCTAAATGTGGAATAGAAGGTAAAATTTTTAATTTTGACTGTGGATATTTACCCTTGGTAAATGGAGTCATATTATTCTACTTTCATAATGTTAAAGAAACCACGCAGTCTAGTAAAATAACTGACTCACAGATACATGAAGAACCCTTAAAGATACTGACACTTTTAAGATATGTATCATTTTAGCTTTATAGAAAGACATTTTCCCTATACACGTTTAGGCTAAACTTACGGTTAGACTCGTCCAACCTCTGGATTTTTTGTGAAAGGGAGATACTACTAAATAAAAGAGCAGACATTACTAAATATAATGTCTAAAAGTCCTAAAACATTACAACCAGAAGAAACCACCATCAACTAACTACTAAGAAAAACAAAATCCAACCTAATCACCCAAGAATAGTTATTTGCTTTTATGCTATAAATGTGATCAACATCAACACTCTCTAGTTATTTAGGCTATATAATGTTGGTTCTCTTAAGACTGTAACTAGAAAATTTTAATTAAGGAAATTTAAAATAAAACCTTT